TGGGCAGGATTCTCAGTAGAGTCTCCGGGGTTTGCTCTGATCTGACAAACGCCAGCAGAAACCACCCGGCTGCCTGTTTTCCAGCAGTGCTTGGATCCATGGCTTCCTTAGATGCAGTGTCAGCAGAATGCAGCAGCCAAGGCGCAGGGGTGTTTGCTCTAAGGCTCATGCTAAGCAGCATGGGTGGGGGGCATGCAAAAGAGAGTCCATCATTTGGCTTTGTCCCCTCATTCGTATGCAACATTCCTAGTTTCTCAAGGAATGGCTAGTGCCACAGGGATGCCAGAGGAACCTATCACTCAGTCATGGCAGTCCAGATCCATGATTGTCAAGTTGGATCAATGAGCATCTGGGCTGCCTCTGAGGTCAGGGGGAGAGCATGCCCTGCCCTCTCCTACCCCTTTGCCACCTGCCAGCTCTGAGACTAAAGTCCTTCTGGACAGTGGAGACCACATCTAAAAGCCCTGTTACGGGCTAAGCCTGTGGAAGAATGTGGTGAAGGAGGTGTGGAGTAGGGAGAGGAGACCAGATTGGGGATGGACAGAATCCACCATCCTGACCTGCTCCTCAGCCTCTGTACACCCTGACTATGGGATTCTGGATAAGTTTTGTGTTCTGTCTGATTTCTCTTCCCAAGGCCATGAAGTGGGTATGGTGGCTGAGAGGTCCGGCAGGCAGGTTGCTTCTGGAATGGGGCTGAGTACACTGCATGGCCTGTGTGTTTCCAGTTAGAGTGGATCTAGGTTGCCCCCCCCCCGCCCTTGTGTTGGGATGAGGGCTCTTACCTGACCAGTGCCAGGTGTTGGATGGAGAGTCACTGAGGGCTGCAGAGAAGAAAGGTATTTGGCAGTGGGGAAGTTGCTGAGCTAGCCTTCCAGGGAGAGAAGCCATGTGGAGCGAAGGCGTAGGCTGGGGCAGAGGAAGTTTCACACTGCTTTGAGAGCTCATGAGGATCTTGAGTGGGAGGTGACAGCTTGCTCGGGGAAGCCTCCCAGTAGCATGTGCCAGGGCTTGGAAAAGCAGTGTGTGTACAGATGCCTGGTGGAGGCTTGGCCCCTAGATGCTTTGGAGGGGAGGGATGAGAAAGCTGGACTGGAGTCCAGGCTCTTTGTCCCCAGAACTAGTGGGGCCACTGCCTAGAGGGCCCCACCCAGAGAATGGGCTTTTGCCCTGGGGCTCTCCTTGCGCATCTGGCCTAGGCTTTTCCTGGCCTAGAAAGGGCTCTCAGCTGGCCGCAGTGGCTGCATGGGTAAGTGGACAGGTTTGGTCTGGCAGCTGCCTCACTGGTGCCTCCGTCTGACGCAGAACACCGTATTCCAGTCCTGGTTCCCAGCTGCCATCTGCTCTGCAGCTTCCCCTAGTGGAGATTTCAGCACTTGCTGGGCCTTGGCCAGAACCCCTATGTTTATTGATAGTTACAAGTGTATAAAACCAGAGAGTTGAACATGACTTGATAGATTAAGGAGGTTTCACCCAATATTGTAGTAAGAGGGACCAATTAATGTTCTCACCATTTGTTTTAAACCCATAAAAAACGCTTTAGGGGACGTTAATGATCTCAGAACTGATCAATTGTGCAAGTAAATCATGTTTCTTTCTTTCTTTTTTTTTTTTTTCTTTTTGAGACAGAGTCTCGCTTTGTCACTCAAGCTAGAGTTGCAGTGATGTGATCATAGCTCATAGCAACCTCAAACTCCTAGGCTTAAGCAATCCTCTTGCCTCAGGCTCCTTAGCTGGGACTGTAGGCCTGTGCTACTATACTATGCCTGGCTAATTTTTCTATTTTTAGTAGAGATGGGGTCTCCCTTTGTGTTTCTTTCTTTTTTTTTTCCCCCTATTTTTTTTTTTTTTTGAGACAGAGCCTCAAGCTGTCCCCCTGGGTAGAGTGCCATGGCTTCACTGCTCACAGCAATCTCCAACTC